TTCAATGTGCATAATATCAATGTTTCGAAAATATACTCTGATCCTCATCACAGTAATTTTGATACAGTAATTTTCAATAATTGCACATCAGATCACGCATAGCGATAGATTAAATATTTTACAAGTAGATCCAAATTAGTTTGTATTTAATTTCAAACTTTCCATGAGTGTTTACTTTAAAAAAACAGTACTTTCAAGTAGTCTAGAAAATATTGGACAAGACAGGTTCGAACTTTCTAAGTATCTTAAAAACCAAGAGCAGTATTTCCAAGTATATTCAAACCTGGATCAAGTATATCAGAATCTTTTATGAATATTTATGAGATATACAGGGTCTTTAAGAAATATATGGACAAACTTTGTATATTTCTTATGTCAAAATAAAGAAAAAAATTTATATAAATCCATAACAACTAAGTTATTGCAAAATTATAATAAAAAAGTTTTTGTTAACATTATTATTAAATAATTATAAATAAATAATTAACTTATAAGAAATGCTCAAACTGTCATTTGATTGAGGATAGTCCATCGATCATTGAATAGCGGAATCCTTATTTTGGATTGTCATGTCATTTCAAAAATTTCTGGACAATTTTCGTATAATTTATAATGCATTAATTCATTAGCATCTCTTCGTTAATTAATAGGTTGCGAATATATTAATTTTAAATGTCCTCATAATGAAAATCTGGATCTTTTCAATCAAATGGCGGCCATTTTGAGTATTTCTTATCAGTTAAATGCTTCCTTATAAATTATTTAATAATAACGTTAACAATATACATTTACAACAATAACATTTTACTATAACCTTGTCAATCATTCATTTTTGATTAGTTATATACTAGTCATATTGAGTGTCCCATTTTAATATATCACCTCTCATAACTTTGCAGGGAGCGATTGTAGAGAAAAATGTTTGAAACAAAAGTTGTATGGTTTTTGAGAGAGATATAAGATCGAGCCATTAATTTGACCTTGAATAGTTATTTAAAGGTCACGTAAAGGTCACCTTTAATTTTTTAAATGGAACTATCTATTTTTTATTGCATGTATTCTTGTAAGTTATTTCAAGAGCTTTCCAAAATCCTTAAATAAAGTATTTTTTCATGGAGTACTTTTTAAGTTATAAAGGTTTGAAGTTAACAATTTTTTGACATAAAATATCTTAAAATATCTTGTAAAATATTAAGTTGTTGGTAATCTTACCTTAATACTTTTATGCGCGGAATAATGAGATCAATTAATTGGTACAAAGAAAACAAATAGTTGCTTTTAAAAAAAGTACGCAGCTGCATTATTGCATATGATATACTTTTTTTAAATAATTATTATTCCCCTCATTCTGTAATTGATGAATTTCTTAAGGCTTAGAGCTTACTGCACCTATTGTAAATCTGGCCTTAATCTTAGAGTTTAAATATAATTTAACTTAATTTAACCAAATCAAACCTAGCCTAATCTACTAGTAAAAGACTCGATTCTTTGCGATAGAAAGTACTTATTATTGTTCTAGATTCGATTACTTCACAAATATAATATATATGTTGAAATATTATTTTTTATGAATATATATATATATATATATATATATATATATATACATATATATATATATATAGGATTAAGTTCAATATATACTTAAAAATAGAAAAGTCAAATCCAATAATCAAGTTTCATTTCTTAGAGGATTTAAATTATATATATATATATATATATATATATATATATATATATATATATATTATTTAAATCCTCTAAGAAATGAAACTTGATTATTTTGGATTTGACTTTTCTATTTTTAAGTATATATTGAACTTAATCCTATTTCTAATTACGCATTGTAATTGCATCAATAATTTTCTAAAATATTAAATTAGTCTACATATTTTATATAAAAATTTCTGAAGGCTTGATTCGTTTTTTGCCTGCAATGATAGTCTAACTCTGCAACAACATCCGTTGAACGTTGAATTTCAAGCATCGTGTTACAGCGAGACATTCTATGAGAGTAGCACGATATCAAAAGTATCGAATCGCTCAATGATGAAAGATATACGCTGTCAAGACGTTGTAACAGTGAATCAACCTTTTTGCAAAAATTAATACAATTTAATAATAGTATTTTAATAGTATTTTAATAGTATTGTATATCAATAATATTTTAAGAGTAGGTATATTAATAGTATTTAATAGTAATATATATTAATAGTATTTAATAGTAGGTATATTAATAGTATTTATTTCAAATACAAAATATTTATTTTTAATTGTCAATTCAGTGATTTTGTCTCAATATTTTTCTCGTCTACAATTCTTTAAGAGAGACAAAGAGGTAAAGATTTTCGAATATAAAATATAGTTTTAAAGAGAGAAGACAATTTATCAAAAATTTAGAATTGATATTTATTTACTGTTTGATATTAGACCAAAAAAAATCGATGCTTTGTGCACGAATAATTAAGTTTCAACGAAGATTATTTTTTGTATGGCTTTTATTTGCTGTTTAAATTGAAATATGTTTATTCCTAATTCAAGCTTAAAATGTTTGTGGACGGGATTGATTATTTATTCTCCTAATACACATACACATAGTTGTGTCTGATAGTGATCTTGCTGACCGGTTTTGTGCATCTTTCTAATTAACGTCGCTTTACTGGAAAACTGCAAGATTTATGCTCGTTTCTCACCCTTTTCCCTTCGCAAGCTTAATAACCGCAGACGTGAAGCAGGAAATTGATGGAAGTGAGAGTAAAAGCGTGCAATTACGGCGGTGGCGGGTAATATAATAATCGCGGCGGGGAGAAATACGAGAACTGTCCGATATGCTTAAAGTTGTACAATGAACGGAAAGGAAAAGCTGTGCAGACATAAATATATTTTACGAAATTGAAATTAATTTATCAATTAAAAAAATATAGAAAAAGCATAAAGGATGTTTTTTCTTCACTCATAATATAATTTTAAATCGATCAAAAAATAGGTATATGTTTGCAAAATTTGATCAAGTATTGTATACACACATACACAATGTACACGGTAAAAAACATTTTGTATTTTTGTTGAAATTATCTCGTGTAGAAATTTTTAACATACTCTTATGTTAATGTAACATATTGTCGTTGTGTTATTTTGACATTTCTGTGTTGAGTTAATATTTACTGTTTTTAAGTGTTAAAACAACACAATTAAATAAAAATGTACGAATTCTTGATGATATATTTTATATGTTAAATTAACATACTTATAAAGTTAAATTTAATTAAAATAAAATGTAATTTTTACATTTTTTGAAATAATTTAAAGGTTTTAATGAAATTCAAATGTTGAATTTACATTACCGGTCTGTTAAGAATTCTATATTTTAACATTAAAAAAATGTTAACGTAACATTTTTTAAATGTTTGTTGTAACTTATAAACAGATAACTTATGTTACTTTTCTCTCTATTACAGTTTTTATCTGTTAAATCGACATATCTTTTATGTTATTTATCATAAAGAAATATCGTCTTTTGTTTTCTGGCGGTTACTGAATGCGACAGTCTCTTGATATACGTGCTGAAGCACGTGCTATTGTGTGGCCACTGCGTACTTTGCGTATGAGTATCGCAAATAAGTGAGTGATCCTTTCAGTGATATATAAGATAAGTGAAACTAACACTAAGGTGCACATATGGGGTAAGAAAATTATTATTTCAAATAATATAATAAAGGTTATGTCTTGCAGGCATTGTGAATATATTAATGGAAATATGATATAGAATATAGTAAATGAGTTTGATACTTTTCCGTTAAATAGATTGATAAATAGATATATTGATCAATAGCAATCGGTTAGCATATCTTAACATGTTTGCAATCTTATAAATAAATTGATTAATTATAATCTTTATAATCTAACAAGTCGATTTAACAAAAATTATAAACGTGAAATGTATGATAGCAAATGAGAAAAGTGATTAGTCAATTACTTTCAGTTTTACTGTTTTTTATGTATCAAATGTTGTTTTAATGTTAATATATTAATAAATATTTGCATAATCTTCTCTATTCAATGTGTATAACTAACCGTAACTGTAGAGTTTTTATATTTCATATTAATATAGAATAATTTTGTAATATATCTCACATTAATCATAATTCTCATTATTTTTACAGCCTTTATTTGTTTTCATTATGGCATTCATGAATGAAATTAACCCAAGTTATTTGTTTTGTGTTTTGCAACACGAAGGCGTTAAAGTATGGGCCAAAATCGAAGAACCATGTACCTACGAACATTTTATTGAAAAAGGTCATTTTTTAACATATTTTCATTAATATATATTAAAGTTTTATCATTTTTATTTAATTGCAATGTATATTTCATTGTAATATATGTTTACAGCTGAAAACATTTTTCCATCATTAAAGAATACAGAGTTTATCTTTACGGATGAAAATGATGCTAAACTTCAACCAGACATTTTATCAGAATTTGTTAGAATAAATCCACGAGGCGTTATTATAAAAATTAAAACAACGACAAATATTGATATTTGTAAGTATGAATAGTATACATATTTTATTACATTTTCTAATTTCTTTTATATTTTGTTTATTCTTAAAGAACATTACAATTTTTTTTATATAGCATTGTCGCATATCCCTAAAGAAGTAAATCAACCATCTACAAGTTCAGATGTAGATACATGTTCTATTAGAAGATCCGTTCTATCAGAGTTCTCAAATAGTGAGTATGAAGGAAATGCATCGTCTTCCAAAAAATATAAATTAGATGCTACCGTTTCTGAAAGTAATGAAGTTATATCAAAAGAGGTATGTTAAATTTTCCTTTTTTTATAAATTATAAAATAGAAAATTAAAAATAAAAAGTTTGTTGTATTTCTGTTCTTTTAGAAGTTGCATGAAATAATAAAAAATTTTGCGTGCGGACAAGAAATACTTGACAATTATGAAAAAAATAAATATTTATCAGAAAAGTACAGAAAGCTTTTAATAAAAATTGTTGTGCAAAGTTTATTAGAATATAAAAAAAAGTAAATAGACAAATCTATTCTTGGGAAAAGTGTAATTATGCACAAGCAATTATTGAACTCTTCCCAAATTTAAAAAACTGTGAAGGTGATCTTGGCTATGTAAGTTTTTATATTTCAACTGTCATAACATCAATTTTTATTATATATATATAGATATATATATATAAAACAAGATTGCATTTATATATTTTACCAAATTCATATAATTTATAAATTAATATTTGTAGAAAGCAATTTTTAGTTTTTGTAAACTGTTTAACATGAGAGTACTATTAAAAACATATACAAATAATATTGTATTTTATTTATTTATATATTATTTATTTATTTATTTATATATTATTTATTTATTTATATATTATATATTTATATATATATCTGTATACATATCAAAGAGAATATTTTATACTTTTGCATTATGCATAATTGTTTATTAATATAATTTTATAGGAACACTTTTATAATCCTAAAACTGGGACTGGATATATTGCTTCACGTTTATCAAATGTACAACGAAAGGGAAGCATCTCAAAAGTAATTGTGGATAACAAACAAAAAGAAAATATTGATAATAATATAACAACTGAGTCTGTTGATGAATCGGACATCATTAAAGATTCAATCAATTTTATGAAACATGCAACATTAGAACAGAAAGACCAGATTATAGAGAAAACTAAAAAAACTTTTAAAGTTCGTCGATATTTATATTTAAATGAGAATTTTTTTAACGTATTTCCAAGATTTTTGGATATGCCTGAACTGGTAAGCACCATTACTTAATTGTAAAAATATAATAAAAGTTATCTTGCACCTTTTTAACTCAAAAGCTCAATTTTACAATGTTATGGTTAATTACTCATTTTTCTTAGTTTATTTTATATATACATAATTATTTTATATTATAACTATATTCTTGCCAAGCTGAAGTGTATATAAAACTTGTTTGATTTACAAATAGCAATATCCTATAGAAATTTTTTCTGCGTATTCCTTTTATTTTTAAAACTAGATTTTTAATAATTTTTTTTATTTAGATTGGTGTAGAATTTAATCTACTTTTTTCTGAAATTGATCCAGATAGATTTTGTAAGATATATCCACAATATATCGATGCTATTTTGTCAGTTTTTGAAACTAAAAAAAATAAAATTCCTCTTGGTACGTTAATTTTTTTATATGGAAATTACATATTAATATTATTAATATTGATTTTTAACGTGTTTTAATATTTTATTTTAAGAATGGAATCTTATTACTAACTCATTTATTGCCTTGGCACTATTATTACCACCAACAGCAAGAGGAAAAAAATTAGCTACAAGAGATAAAACAAATAATATAATTAGAAAATTGATTGTTTTTGTACAGGTAAAAGATTAAAATTATTTTTTTTACAATTATTAATTTTATTTACAATAATCGCAATATAACATTAATTGTTTTACTTTTTAGAATGGGACACCCTTGCGTTCAAATGAAAACGTAAATCAACCAAGAATTATTGTTGTTGGTCCTAATAAAATAGCACCTGAACAATATTTTCTTAAAATGGACAGGAAATTTATTTTATTACCAACGAACGATATTATTAAATCAATTGATTACCTTTTCAAGGCTCACTATGCTTTTCATGTAGAATTTGAGAACGATCTTAAAAATTTTTGGATTTTTCTGCAACACTATTTCTACACGATTCCAAGTAAATGTACGAGTAAAGTGATTGAAGTACACACGAAACTTGAGGTAACAAAATCAAATTATTGTTAAATTAAAGGTACTATTCAAACAAATTATTATAATTAAACATAATATAACATTTCTCATATTATTTAAGAGATTATAGATATAATATATAAGTATTAAAATATTGAACATTGATATTCATGCAAAAGTTAGTTCTTTTTTATTTTTATAAGTGAAAATGCAAATATTAAAAAAGATATATATATAATTTTTTGTTTATTTAAAAAATAAGATTATAATATAATTATATTTATTATAAATTTCATTTTTCCTTTGTACACTTTTTCCAACGTAATTATTATTAAAAATGTCTCTTCAGTGTTACTTATGTGAATATAAAACATTACAAATCAAAGATATATGTCGTCACTTACGTAATGTACATATGCTGTTTGAGAGCTCTAATCTTATTTTAAAATGTTGTACGAGTTGTACAAATTGCCTTGCCGTTTTTAGAACATATTGTGGCTTTACAAAACATTTGAAAAAATGTATTCCCCAAAAAGAAAATATACTTTCCAAAAGTAACGCTTATGAAAAATCAAATGCTGAAAATGTTGAGATTTTTGAAAAAGTTGATATTAATGATAATTGTGATTTGATTGAAAATAAAACTGTAACATCAAATAAGTCAGAGACTGAGAAAAAGCAACTAATGCAGGAAAATATGTCTAATTACGTAACACACTTATATTCTTTAGGTTTATCTGATCTTATTATAACAAGTATTTTAGAATCAACATCAAATGTAATTTTTCCACTCATTGACGATATTATATCACTTTCACATTTAGATGAACGTCAAAATCTTGCTCACGACTTTAGATATGCATTTGACAATCACATGACTGTATATAAACAAAATAAAAATTTGCCAAAAAATTTTGTACAGCCTATCCAGAAAGCTCATGGTGTTGGAATAAAAAAAAAAAATACGACAGTAGAGCACAATGCTATAGACAAGTTCCAGTTACACGTACTTTTACATATATACCTATATTAGAAACTCTTCAATTTATATTAAATAATAAAGCTGCTCAACAATTCTTTACAAATAATATTTTTGAAAATAATAATGCTTACACTAATTTCATTGATGGTACAGTTTATAAAACTAATCCTTTTTTCCAAATAAATAAGAACGCAATTCAGATTCAACTTTATTTTGATGAATTTGAGGTATGTAGTCCTTTAGGAAGCAAAGCTGGAATTCATAAAATTGGAGCGTTTTATTTTACAATTAATAATTTTCCTATTCATATTAATTCAATGTTGCAAAATATTTTTTTAGTAGCTTTAAGTTATAATGCTAATATTAAAAAATTTGGTATAAATCCTGTCTTAGAGGTCATTGTATATGACATAAAAATTCTAGAAAAGCAAGGAATATTTATTAAAGCTCTGAATACTTATGTGAAAGGTACATTAATATCTTTATCTTGCGATAATTTAGCTGGAACTATGTTGCTTGGCATGAATGAATCTTTCAATTCTCATCACTATTGTAAAATTTGTACAATGCATAAAGAACATGCCCAAAAAACATGTGTTGAAGATTTAAATTTATTACGAACAACAGAAAGTTTTTGTCATTTATCACATCAACGAAACTATGCCAATAGCGATACATTTAATTTTTTTGGAATAAAACATAAAACTGCTTTGTTAAATATAGCTTATTTTAAAGTTTCCGAAAATCTCAACATTGATGTAATGCATGATTTTTTGGAGGGCATTTGCCACAGAGATCTAAAATTATTCAGATTTTTGTAATAAATGTGGACTAATAACTTTAAATGATTTAAATGAAAAAGTACAAGCGTTTGATTATGGCTTTTGTAATAAAAAAAATCTTCCAAGCATTATACATTTTAGTAAAAATTCAAATTCAATTGGACAACGTGCAGCACAAACTCTTTGTTTAACAATATTTTTGCCTTTAATTCTAGAAGATATAGTTCCAAAACTGGGAGAAAATTTTAATAAATGGAAAATAATTTTATTACTCATAAAAATGTTAAAGATTGTTTTTATCACCAAAAATTACGCTTAATATGTTACATGATTTACAAATAACGATAAAAGAACATCACGAACTTGTAATAAAAGAATTTTCCGTTCTATTAACTCCAAAAGATCATATAATTACGCATTATCCTACTATAATAGAAAAAATGGGTCTTCCAAGAGCTTACTGGACTATGCGATTTGAAGCTAAAAATGGTTATTTTAAAGATTTAGCTCATAAATTAAAAAATTTTAAAGATATTGCGTTTACTTTATCGTTACGTCATCAAAAATATATCAACTATGAGTCGAAAAATAAGTGTAATTTTATTGAGGAACAGCCAATCCTTCAAAATTTTAAAAAGGAACATTTGAAATCTACAGACTATGGAGCAATAATTGCAGAGCATTTAAATATTACATTAAATACATTAATTTACGTTGGAAAAAACGTACAATTTAGAGGTACAAATTTAAAATTAAATAAATTTATTTGTACATCTTTTTCTGAAAAGTTTCCGAATTTTGGTAAAACAAAATTATATTTTTCTTTAAATTCTATAATATATGTTTTATATGAAAGTTGGAATACTATTTGGGATACATCATAAAAAATAATTCTTCCTTCTTTATAATGAAACTGGTCAATTTTCCATTTACCAAAGCTTGGGAAATGTATAAAACATCAGAAAATGATACGGTTATTGTAACAGAGTATTTTTTGTAATTTGTAATTTTTATATTATATACAATTGTAATCTGTTTCTTCAGATAAATAGAATGTGCAATTTTGTCAAATGTATCCGTAATATTTCTATATAATATTTCTATAATAAATGTAATATTTCTATAATAAATGTAATATTTCTATAATAAATAAAATACTTTGTGGAAAAATATGTTATTTTATGTTATATAACAATAAATAATATTATATATTAGTATAATATACTGCAGTACGGTATAATACTAATAATAGCAATAAACATTTAAAAAACGTTAACATTTAGGAAATGTAACGTTAACATTAAAAAAATGTAACGTTAACATTTAAAAAATGTAACGCTGACATTTAAAAAATGTTGCGTTAACATTTAAAAAATGTAACGTTAACATTTAAAAAATGTAACGTTAACATTTAAAAAATGTAACGCTGACATTTAAAAAATGTTACGTTAACATTTTTTTAATGTTGAAATATAGAATTCTTAACACACCGACTGTGTAAATTTTACATTTTAATTTCATTAAAATCTTTAAACAATTACTTTAAAAAATGTAAAAATAACATTTTATTTTAATTAAATTTAACTTTATAAGTATGTTTATTTAACATAAACTTTATTTCCAGATAACATCCAAGTGTTACATTTTTGTGTTATTTTTTCACATATTACGTGTGTTATTTAATTACATATTTGTTTTCTGTTAAATTAACATTAAAATTAGAGTGGATAAATTGGGACATGTGAAATGTGTTAAATTTAACACAATTTTTTTTAATACGTAACATTTGATTGATTGATTTTTATCTTTCTCATTCACAATCGTTAAGCAATTAGTCCTCATTGAGCCTTTTTATTAGCATCCGAAATGTCGGCACAATATGCGCCAATAAAGAATTCCTTTCACATATTCTCATGAAAAGCTTCTCCCAAAGCCACGGAAACAATGATCAATTGTCTACACGCCGATACGTAAAAAGAGAGACCAAAAAGCGTGAACATTGGATATATACGGTGTTCCAATATTGGTGAATATTTCGATAAGCAATTTCTCTAACATTTAACGGACCATTTTTATTAAAATTTTTACAATATTTATATAAAAATTTTACAATTTTTCAAGTTAAATAGCAATAAAATATATTCGCAATTTACATATTTACAAAAACAACCTTATATTAAATAAAAACTGTATTATATAAATAAAATAACCTATTACATAAAAAAGAATAAAGTCCTATTGCGAAATCACTTCTAAATTATAATTAAAATCTAGATTTTGTGATTAACTTATATAATAAATTTAAATCACTTACATTCTTTAATTTTAGATTTAAAAAATGGGTTTAAAATAAATTATAAACAATTAAAAAAATACTTTTTACAGTATAAATATATTTACTTACATTATAAAATCTAATAATATAATAGTATACATTCATATTTTGTAATCAGATATTATAAATGAAATTTAATGTAATTATTTATTTTATTAATCTAACTTGCGTATTTTTTTGTATATTATTTTATATAATTTAAATAGAGAGAGTAATTAGAGAATGTGTCTTAAACGTAATTTCAGTAACACTAAATTTAAACTGCGATTGTTCAACTTTTTAAGTACCTTCATAATTAGGCCAATCACCATCGAAGTTTCCCTTGAGTAAAACCGACTGCAAATTTGTTCAAGTATTTGTCATTAAAATATCTTCCGGTAACCGTAGGCCACCCTGTAGAGAAACTGTCGATCGGAAATCGGAGGAAAATGAAAGTTCGGTCTAGCGAGATGAGGAAAGAGAAGGGAAAGGGGGTTCAGAGGACGAGCAGGCTCTGCAGAGAAGATAAAATAATTTCCGGAACGACGGAATGCGAAGAGGAGGAGGGGAGTTCCAATGGAAGTGGCGTCCTGATCGAAATCCGGGAAGAGAGAGAGGACAATTATTGACGCAGACTAATTTCACGAATCGAGCAACGCGGCACTGGCGAAAATAAAAGAGAAAAAAGAGAGAAAGAGAAGAAGATAGAGTAGAGAGATCCTGAAGAGAATGGTGGCTATCCCCGTCGGCTCTCGCGGGAGATGAATAATTGAGAGAGATCTGCGTGTCGTTTTTTCGGATCGACGGCTTTAAAGCGATCGGGGAACGATTATTTTAAAAATGTATTTTTTCACCGGGATTATATTCTCTCGTCGCACCGTCTTATGCATTTACAATCCCTCCTTTTTATTCGCAAAGTGCATAATAAGGATTCCCCATTCTGCTTTCTCAGGACCTTGTCCTTTTTTATGAAGTATCAAAAGTTCTTA